TCTTTCCCTCCTTCTTCCTTTCTCGCTCTTTCTTTCCCTCCTTCTTTTCTTCTCTTTCTTTTCCTCTTTCCTTCTCTTTCACTCTTTCATTCCTTCTCTCTCCACACTTTCTCTCTCTTTCCTCCTTCTACGGCCCAACTCTAGTGAGAAGGGGTTTAAAGAAGAACTGAGTTGCTCCTGGGTTTGCAGCAGTTCAGGTGCACACCTAATAGCATAGGATGGCTTCTCCTATGGGTCACCTAGTATAATTGCATACTTCTTTGTGATAAAAGAACTGACCGGTTGTCCACTGATGGCCAGACTCTTGTCTTCCCCCCCTTCCTAAGCCATTTTCTCACACCAAAATAGTGCTGGGCGTGGGGTTTGGAAACTCCTCAGGATAAAAGCCAGAGAGAAGAAGTGCTGAAGGTATCGTTCTCATTTATAGGTACACAACTTACTATTATTATATTTTATGATTTGTTATAATTTTAAAAATCACAAGAATAGTCAACTCATTTTTTTGTAACTGACAATAAAGGTGGATGACAACTGAAGTAAATAAATTGCTTTATCATGCTATGTAGTGTCAGAGAATTTGATTGGGGGGGCAATAGTGGGTGGGCTTCTAGTGTCCTGGCCCCACTAGTGGACCTCCTGATGGCACCTGGTATTTTTAGCCACTGTGTGACAGAGTGGCTTTTCCAGCATTGGCTTCTCTTATGTTCTTATAATGTCAATAATCCTCATGCCAACACCAAAGACGAATGTACAGATAAAGTGACAATACTCAAATCTGGAGACTTTGTTTCAGTTTACCACAACTTTTGGAAAAGATTACTTGCTATAATGTATAGTGCACAATAATATATTAACTCACCCATCAAATTAATATCCTCCAACTCACTAATATTTTCCTTGGTTGCACTCTTGCTGGCATACCGTCAATTATCAACGTCTATAACTCCCCAGACAAAGGAGCCACTGTAGGTTTGTAATTCAGCTGCCAATCCAATTACTTTGGCTGTGAAACGCAAGCTACTTAGGTTGCTGAATCACTGCCTTTCACTGGAATTCCTCCCTCCCCCAACATCTGCAGCTCCTGGCAACAGACATCAAAACCCAGCAAAGGGTGTCGAAATGTCTACAAAGAGGCAGTTACTGCTACAAGCACATCCCTTTCATAGGGATGCATGGATAGGACCTCCACTGTCTCTGCTACTTGCAGTTCCTGTCTGAAATAAAAACAAGGCCAAATGGGCAAGGCTGAAGACTTCCTGTTTAAATTATATGATAAACATAGACACACACACAGGCATTTTGCTTCCTTAAACAAGCAAAGCTAATGATTTCAGTGTTGATTTATTTATTTATTTTTATTCTCACTGAAGAAAAGACTTCTGCATTCCTCTCATTTTGAATTCAGAGTAATGGTCCGTTAGCAGTACGGAAATCATCACGAATGGAGCAAAATTACATCATGTACACCTAAATTGCAATGAAGCCTTATTCAAGGATTTTGAATCTATCAGCAATGCCAACTTTCAAAGAAAGCCAGCTCTCCAAGAAGCAGTAGGTCACAAAAAGTCATTTTGGCCCTGGTCACACGGGCCGGAAAACGTGGGGGGGGGAGGCGTGGCTATTTGTGGTGCCGCAATTAGACACGCAACAACGTGATTAGACGCATTGGCGGCAACCCATGGTTCCAGCCCTCGGCGTGTGCGCTGCAACAAAGACGGCTGGAGGGAAAAGCCGCACGGGCACGATCACACCGGGGGAGTCCGGACACAGCCCGTGGCAAACCGTTTACTAGTACCTTCAAAGAAGTATTTTTTTATCGTGCATTTTCAGCGGCATGCCACGGGTTGGCCACGGGTTCGCTCCACTTGCCAGATGTTGTGGTGTGATTGCGCCTGGAAAAATCTGCCATTCCA